CATACCAGACTTTAGGGCCCCAATCATTAAAGAATTCCTTACACTCCATTACTGCACAACAACCTAGCAGAACAGGAATTCCCTGAAAATTAGCATATACAAGTCATATCATTTTTAGGCCTGTATGAACATAGAATAGACAGAAGAGCTAAAAAATTATCCAATCTCAAATCCTTTATTTTAGAACTTAAAACAAAAGCATTCCAAATAAGGAATGTAAAAATGTTTAAGTAAATAGAGAGGTTTTTGTAATTTGTTTACTGTATGTTATTTTATGCATATGTAAAATTAATAAAAAAACTTTTTGCAAAATATTGCCTGTAATCATAAGTTATTAAACATTTAAATAAACAATGCAGAAATAAATCTGTAGAAGTACACTGCTGGAGAACCATATTGGACTAGATGCCAGGCAAATGAATTGGGATATATGTTTTTTCATGTTGTGTACAAGTCCAAATACATGTATATGTATATCTTGTACAGTAAAGAATGCTATTAAATAAGCTATTTATTCTATATCCCAAGTTTAATACTGTGTGTTATACAATTACATGAAAACACATTTTTTTATTTTGATAAACATAAGCCAGCTTTCTTTTTACTCGCCCATTCTTTACAGATACCTTGTCTTGAAAAGTCTAATCCTTGACAGCTCATACACACTAAACTGTCCAATACAGAGTAATTATATTGGACTATACAAAGTTAAAAAGATATTGGCTTTTAAGTCACATAATTCAACAGCAGTGACTAAATATTAGCATGTTTAACAGAGTTACTCCAGAATTAATATATTTTGGGATTTTCCAAGCTAATCTGGGGGTACAAACAAACTTTTTACTGTAAAAGCTTGGAAAATAAATGTAGATAAGGTTAAAATAGTCTTGAGTTCTCTTTTTATAACAAATACAGTAGTAATTAAAGGCCAGACCAAATCTTTTGTGGTGTTATATGTTTATGTTTGTCTTTTGTTATGGGTGATTGAACTGGTTTTGCAAGTTGAGTGATGGATGATTGATTTTGGTATGAAAGTTATTTTTAGATGATTTGGTTCTGGAATGTAACATTTCTTAGTAACTGACCACTTCTTGTCTTGCTTTCTAAATGAAAAGAACTATAAAACTAGTTAACTTTCAGTTATTTCTCTATAGAAATACTTGCTTTTTATTTATGTTAATTTTTAAATCAGAATCTCTTCTATCAAGCCTGGTATGTATCATATATTTATTTGTGAAATTGTTTTTATTGTAATTTGAATTGTTGTATAATATTTTGTATTATGTATTTTGTGAAATGTATTTGTCTTGTAAAATATTTGTTTTGTAATGTGATGTCTTATTGTTGTTTTATTTTATTACAGGTTTTATTCTTGATAGAATAAATATATAAACATCATCAAAGTGTTTATTGTTGAAAAACCCCACCATTACATAAACATAGCTGGCTGACTTGGTAGTGCACCTTGAAGCTATAACAGTAAAAGTTTATTTGTACCAGGGAGATCAGCTCTGAAAAACCTAACTTTGCTGAGTTCTGAATACATGTAACAACAATTGCTATAGAATGAAAATACATACTGGAACATGTGCACTATCATGATGGGCTATATTAGCAAACTGGTTTACTCCTGGTATATTTACTGCAAATGTCATTCCATAGTTCACCTGTACAAAAATAACATCATAGCTAAGTTTAATGAAAATATTTCCAAAAATAAAGCACCCTAAGACCAAAAGAAAGGTAAGTACATGTATATACATTTCATAAATTAAGTGAGTGACTGATAACAAGACAGTCAAGACTTATGTCACACCTTATACAATGTAACTTCTTAACTTCTAGCATTTGCACATACTTGATAAAATTTAATCAATTTAGCAAAATTTTCATTTCCTGAGACCAAAAAATCTATATCAAATGCATATTGTACACCATCTAGCCTTAATTTCACTTTTCAAGTCCAAAGATTCCATACATTTTGTAATAAATCCTATTGCAATCTATCTAGCTGCATTTTCATATTCAAGGTACAAACAAATAGATTTTTGGTGTAGTACTTAATTCAGTATAATAATGTAATTTTATTAAATGAAGCAATTCAAAGAACAAATCTTATGTACAGACACAAAAGAGAGCATTATTCATATTCTCCCGGGTAAGGGTAAAAATGAAACATACCTGATGGTTCGCCAAGGTATGGATAGCAAAATGTTTTGTTTTGTTTACAATGTCATGGAATTTGCTGAAAAATATATGAATGAAAACATCTTTAAACACAAAATAATAACTCTTCTTAAAATATACATATATCTTAGTTAGACCTTTGTTTTCATAAATACTGAAATAATGGGCTTAAGCTACTTCACAGCAATCAGTATTCAGTCATGCAACTTCACAAGAAAAACAGTGACAATTTATTTTTTTTGATTACCTCCCTTTAGATTTTCCTCTTATTTAGAGAATGTATTAATTATTTATTTAATGTTAAAACATTATTTTAAAAATCTGTATGTAAGTTTCGTACACAATACTGAATACAAAAAAAAACATCTTATATAATAAGCAGATTTATTCATGTATCACTGTTTTTGTTGTTGCTTTTTTCATTTTTTTTTCATTACCTATATAATTATGTAAATTTAGAATTGGAATATTACCTTTTTTTAAAAAATCAGAAATCAACAGATGTAAATGTTGCTTGGATTAGTTTCAATGATTTAAACATTGTCATATAAAAACAGTTCATAAATTTTACTCAATGACCAGTTTTAAAAAAAAGTTTTGGGAGTGGGGGATGATACTTCTTTCAAAATTGTGAATATCATTCAATGTCTCCTATAGCTTAAGCCTAAAATAGAACTATGGTAACTACAAAAGATTACAAAACTATTAAAAAACAGTAAAAATTACCTTGGAATCTTTAGACAAATTGATACAATAGGTGGAGTAAAAGAAACACTAGTGAAAGATGTACAGGTCATTCCTCGCTTATGCCACATCCCATCTTCATGGTATCCAGATGTCACTACCACAACTGTGTGAAGCAACAAGACAAGGAACATCGCAATGCGATGCAACCAGGTTTTCAGCAAAATATTTCACAGAAGCTTTGTCATGAAGGGGCATTTGTTTTTAATTGAATTTTTAGGAGGAATTATGGCTTTTTTAATATTCTTCAAACAAAAATGATTGAGAAATTTTATTTTGTCTATTCGCCTTTTTCCCCCAAATGTTTTAGAAAGGTAAACAGTACTTTATTTTTGCTTAATTTTTGAAGTTGCGCACTGTAGAAATTGTTCACTATATATTCTGTATAAGGAAAAAATATACAAAGGGCCATAATTCGGTCAAATATTATCCAATCACAAAACCCCGACAATATGTGCCAGGCACTTGATAACAAAGCTTCTAAGAAAGTTTGGTCAAAATCCGTTGAGAAATGTAGGAGGAGTTGCGCACAGAAGAAATTGTTCACTATACATATTCTGTATAAGGAAAAAATATACAAAGGGCCATAATTCGGTCAAATATTATCCAATCACAAAACCCCGACAATATGTGCCAGGCACTTGATAACAAAGCTTCTAAGAAAGTTTGGTCAAAATCCGTTGAGAAATGTAGGAGTTGCGCACAGAAGAAATTGTTCACTATATATTCTATACAAGGAAAAAAAACAAAGGGCCATAATTAGGTCAAATATATACCAATTGCAAAACCCTGGCAATATGTGTCAGGGCACTTGATGACAAAGCTTCTGAGAAAGTTTGGTCAAAATCCGTTGAGAAATGTAGGAGGAGTTGCGCACAGAAGAAATTGTTCACTATATATTCTATATAAGGAAAAAAAACAAAGGGCCATAATTAGGTCAAATATTATCTAATCGCAAAACCCCGACAATATGTGTCAGGGCACTTGATGACAAAGCTTCTGTGAAAGTTTGGTCAAAATCCGTTGAGAAATGTAGGAGGAGTTGCGCACAGAAGAAATTGTTCACTATATATTTTATATAAGGAAAAAAAACAAAGGGCCATAATTAGGACAAATATTATCTAATCGCAAAACCCTGACAATATGCGCCAGGGCACTTGATGACAAAGCTTCTGTGAAAGTTTGGTCAAAATCCGTTGAGAAATGTAGGAGGAGTTGCGCACAGAAGAAATTGTTTACGCCCGCCCGTCCACCCATCCGCCCGCCCGCCCGCCCGCCGCCCGCCGACATACCTCAATCTAATAACCAGTTTTTTCCTTCGGAAAACCTGGTTAAAAATTATCTAATCACAAAACCCTGACAATATGTGCTATGGCACTTGATGACAAAGCTTCTGTGAAAGTTTGGTCAAAATCCGTTGAGAAATGTAGGAGAAGTTGCGCACTGTAGAAATTGTTCACTATTATATTCTGTATAAGGAAAAAATACACAAAGGGCCATAATTCGGTAAAATATTATCCAATCACAAAACCCCGACAATATGTGCCAGGCACTTGATAACAAAGCTTCTAAGAAAGTTTGGTCAAAATCCGTTGAGAAATGTAGGAGGAGTTGCGCACAGAAGAAATTGTTCACTATAATATTTTCTGTATAATGAAAAAAACAAAGGGCCATAATTAGGTCCAATATATACCAATTGCAAAACCCTGACAATATGTGTCAGGGCACTTGATGACAAAGCTTCTGAGAAAGTTTGGTCAAAATCCGTTGAGAAATGTAGGAGGAGTTGCGCACAGAAGAAATTGTTCACTATATATTCTATATAAGGAAAAAACAAAGGGCCATAATTAGGTCAAATATTATCTAATCGCAAAACCCCGACAATATGTGCCAGGGCACTTGATGACAAAGCTTCTGTGAAAGTTTGGTCAAAATCCGTTGAGAAATGTAGGAGGAGTTGCGCACAGAAGAAATTGTTCACTATATATTCTATATAAGGAAAAAAAAACAAAGGGCCATAATTAGGTCAAATATTATCTAATCGCAAAACCCCGACAATATGCGCCAGGGCACTTGATGACAAAGCTTCTGTGAAAGTTTAGTCAAAAATCCGTTGAGAAATGTAGGAGGAGTTGCGCACAGAAGAAATTGTTTACGCCCGCCCGCCCGTCCGCCCATCCGCCCGCCCGCCCACCGCCCGCCCGCCCGCCGACATACCTCAATCTAATAACCAGTTTTTTTCCTTCGGAAAACCTGGTTAAAAATCATGTAATTTGTGTCTGTGAACATTGATGGGAGAAAAGACATAATTATAGTTGCAGGAATAGTGTTTGAAACTTTAGGCTTTGAAATTTTGTACACTTAAAAATATGTTATGTATAATCTATAATACTTTTCGTACCACCAAAATGTTTCTTGGCAATGAACTTGTATATTTTTTAGCCAATAAAATATCTGACTTGACTTTGCTAATGATACGTAGTCTTAGAGAATTAAGAAATTGCTATCATATGTAATTATTCATTACATTAAAAATATACAGATCACAGTGTTGTATTTAAAGTTTATGTAAACTCTGCTGTCAGTAAATGAAAACACAGTTACCTGGTTGAGGGACTCTCTGCATGATATTTTTGTATGTTTTTCTTGTGTCACAATCATCAACATGATGATGTAATCTGTCTGTTTGATTCAATATTTCCTCAACTATAAATAAAAATCATATCTTGTTAATATACCATCATGTTGTTAATTTGTGCACTCCTGAAATTGAAGAATCTTGTTGTTTAATAAGGCAAGTGATAAATATATGACTTTCACAAAAAACAAAAGATCTTTTGTATATTTAAATAAGAAGTTTTTCTTTTTTTATTTCCAGCACTATTCAAAATGTTATAATTATACAGTGAAAGATACCAGTTTTTAGATATACAATAATTACTTTGAATAACATATAGTAACAGAAAGGAAAACCTTGTTCAATTAATCATTTATTTCAACACCACAAAATGTATTTTTCTTATAATAACTAACTTCTTCAGGTCTGCTTTAGTTTTGGCCTTACAATAATGTCTTACATCACAACCAAAATTATTAATTAAATGTTAAGACTATTGCTGACACCGGAACAGAAATAACTGCCAATTTAAGCATTCTACCTCATGTATACTTAATGTCAGTTACAGTGTAGGTCACTTGTCTTGTGATCAACATGTCCATATTTTGGTTGTTACTGAGAATACATCATTTGTATGAGTTTAAATATTGTTGAGCAACTCAACATACAATAATTATAGAAAAAACTTTAGAAACTTTAATACCACAATAAAGATATATAAAGTATAGTGTTCTAATGTATATCTGAAGAGTACCAATTTTGAGAATTTTCTAGTAACCCACTTGCTACATGTTTTATCTAATACTACAATGGAATTTTCTGATAATATATGAAATGCATGTATTTACAATAAAAAAAAAATTGACAACTTGACTAAGGGCCAGACAAGTTGACCAAAATGGTGCTATATTCATAACCATATAATGGTATTTATATTCTTTAAATTAACAATGTTTCAGTTAATTTCTCTTCGTATTTTCAAACAAACTTTAATTATTAAAGTCCATGATTTTTAGAAGAAAAAAATGTCCAATCATCAAGCGCAAAAAATCTGTTTAATATATCTACTGTAGGCCTAATTGATAAAGTTTTCATGATATTCAATAAAATCTTCTTTTAGACACACAATTTGCATATTCAACATTGTTTTAGGTTATTTATTTTTAAAATGCCATAAGACAAGCCTCAACAGTGTGTATAGACTAGTCATGCGTGAGACGCTTAAGGCTATAACTTTTGGCTAGCAATTTAATATGGGCCCATTCGGCTAGCCAGTGCTTATTAGTCTAAATAATTGTATTATGTTTGTTTGTTTGTTTGTTTGGGTTTTACGTCACAACGACACAGTATAGGTCATATCACAATGTTCCAGCTTTACTGGTGGAGGAAAACCTCATGTGCCCTTACAAGCATTATTTCAGGCACGAACGGGCACCCGACTAGAACCACCGACATTCGGTAAGCTAGCTGGTTAGCTGCCTCACATGAAAGAATCCAAAATCCCTGTCAGAAATCGAACCCACAGCGGTGAGGGGCAAGTGGTTTGAAGACAACGACCGTAACCACTTGGCCACAGACACCCCTGTATTATGTTTGTGATGAGATAATACGCTTTCTGTGTATGGGCAATATCTCCCCTCTCCCCTCTACGAAGTGAGATTGTGACCCAGATCAAAAGTATCTCATAATCTAGCCTTGGCACGTCAATATATTTTGACTAATTGGTGTACCATGTGTATAGGACCGAAATGACTCGGGGCCGTGTGATCTGAAAAAAAATAGGAATCACCTTTTGAGCTCATACAACGGCATGTGTACTGCGAAGTTTGGACTGAAGAACTTTCCAGGAATTGAACTGGAAAGCCAGTCTTAATAGAAATATTCAATAAACGCGAAAACATTTTCCTTTTGAAAAATAAAATTATTGACATTCATCCAAATAAATGACTCTAGACGCTTATTAACTTCGCCCAAATAATGCATTTAGATGATACAGAGTAAGGTCAAGGTCGCATCTTCTACCATAAAATAAACTTAAAATTCAACATTTTACATTTAAATTTATCTTTAGTATTGTTAAAACTATAAGTAAAGAAATATCTTAATTTAGGAACATTTTATTCAAAATATTAAATAAAGCGTTTTTGCGTCTAGCTTGGCTTTGTACATAATGACAACAAAAATGGCGGCCCCCATGTTCAACTTTGGTAAACGGAAAAAGGGATCGAGTAAGCGTACACTTTGCATATTTAGCCCCGCCTATAAATAAAGCACGAATTTCTTATAAAGCGTTATCATCATGATTAAAATAGACTATAAATCTGTGGAAATGATCAGTGTTACTGTATGTAAGTGCATATGCTTAATCCCCCTAATAAATATACACGAATGTCTTATAAAAATGGAAAAGGCTTTAAAGTGTTAAGTCGTGCAATAATGGTGCTTTCATTCATATGCCAAATGATTTAATCAGCATATGAACCTATGTGAGGATATCAAGTTAGATGACTAAAGGATTATCTGAATATACATACAATGTATAGTTTTGTTCATATGAAAAAATATATTAGGAATCACATTATAAGAGGGACCAAGTTTATACTATATAGTTTTCATTGAACAGATACAACGCGATCACGTAAGATGACCATGTACATATACTATTACTTTTCATTGAACAGATATCAGCGGGTCACGTACTTGATGACCAGGGGATCATCTACTTGTACACATAAAATAATTTTCATTGAACTGATATCATTGGATCACGTAGGTGACCAGGCGATCAACTAGATATACACGTCCTCTTTCTTATTATGGAAGGGATATAAGGGGATAACGTAAGATGACCAGGGGATCATATAATTTTACATATGCTATAGTTTTCATTGATCAGAAATAAGGGGATCACGTAAGATGACCAGGGGATCGTCTAGATGTGCATACAGTATAAGATTCATTGAACAGATATCAGGGGATCACGTAAGATGACCAGGGGATCATTTAGATGTACATATACTATAGTATTCATTGAGCAGATATAAGGGATCACATAAGATGACCAGGGGATCATCTACATGTACATATACTCTTTCTAATTATGGAAACGGATATATGGAGATCACGAAAGATGACAAGGGGATCAACCATATTTACATTTACTATAGTATCCATTGAATAGAAATAAAGGGATCACGTAAAATGACAAGGGGATCGTCTATATGTACATATACTATAGCATTCATTGAACAGAAATAAAGTGATCATGTGAGATGAGCAGGGGATAATCTACATGTACATTTATTCTTTCTTATTATGGAACAGATATATGGGTATCATGTAAGCAGACAAAGGGATCATCTAGATGTGCACATACTATAATATTCATTGTACAGAAATAAAGGGATACCGATCACGTTAGATGACAAGGGTATCATCAACATGTAAATTTATTCTTTCTTATTACGGAACAGATATATGGGTATCATGTAAGCTGACCAGGGATCATCTATATGTACACATACTTTAGTATTCATTGAACAGATATAATGAGATAACGTAATATATACAAGTGGGTCATCTAGATTTACATAAACTATAGTTTTCATTGAACAGATATATCAGGTGATCACGTAAGTTGACCAGGAAATCATCTTAATGTACATATACCGTACTTTTTCATTGAACAGATATAAGGGGATCACGTAATGATGACCAGTGGGCTATCTATATGTACATATACTATATTTTGCATTGAACAGATATAAGTGGATCATGTAAGATGACCAGGGCTTCATATAATTTTACATATGCTATAGTTTTTATTGAACAGAAATAATTAAGGGGATCACGTAAGATGACCAGGGGATCGTCTAAATATGCATATAGTATAAGATTCATTGAACAGATATCAGGGGATCACGTAAGATGACCAGGGGATCATTTAGATGTACATATACTATAGTATTCATTGAGCAGATATAAGGGGATCACATAAGATGACCAGGGGATCATCTACATGTACATATACTCTTTCTAATTATGGAACGGATATATGGAGATCACGAAAGATGACAACGGGTTCAACTATATCAAAATTTACTATAGTATCCATTGAACAGAAATAAAGGGATCCCATTAGATGACCAGGGAGCCATTTAGATGTACTTATATGCTTTCATATTTTGGAGCAGATAAATGGGGATAATTTTAGCTGACCAGAACAGAAATAAGGGGATCACGTAAGATGACCAGGGGATCGTCTATATGTGCATATAGTATAAGATTCATTGAACAGATATCAGGGGATCACGTAAGATGACCAGGGGATTATCTACATGTATGTACTCTTTCTAATTATGGAAAGGATATATGGAGATCACGAAAGATGACAAGGGGATCAACTATATTTACATTTACTATAGTATCCATTGAACAGAAATAAAAGGATAACGAAAATGAGCAGGGGATCATCTACATGTACATTTATTCTTTCTTATTATGGAACACATATATGGTTATCATGTAAGCTGTCAAGAGAATCATCTAAATGTACATGAACTCTTTCTTATTATGGAAGGAATATAAGGGGATAACGTAAGATGACCAGGGGATCATCTAATTTTACATATGCTATAGTTTCATTGAATAGAAATAAGGGGATCTTGTAAGATGACAAGGGGATCATCTAGATGTGCATATACTGTAAGAATCATTGAACAGATATAAGGGGATCACATAAGATGACCAGGGGATCATCTACATGTACATATACTCTTTCTAATTATGGAACGGATATATGGAAATCACGAAAGATGACAACGGGTTAAACTATATCAAAATTTACTATAGTATCCATTGAACAGAACTAAAGGGATCACGTTAGATGACCAGGGGGTCATTTAGATGTACTTATATGCTTTCATATTTTGGAGCAGATAAATGGAGATAATTTTAGCTGACCAGGGGATCATTCAGATTTACATATACTATAGTATTCATTAAAAAGATCTAAGGAGATCACGTAAGATGACAAAGGGATCGTCTATATTACATATACTATAGCATTCATTGAACAGAAATAAAGGGATCACGTTAGAAGAGCAGGGGATCATCTACATGTACATTTATTCTTTCACGAAAGATGACAAGGTGATCAACAGATCTAAGGAGATCACGTAAGATGACAAAGGGATCGTCTATATGTACATATACTATATTTTTCATTGAACAGAAATAAAGGGATCACGTGAGATGAGCAGGGGATCATCTACATGTACATTTATTGTTTCTTATTATGGAACAGATATGTGAGTACCATGTAATCGGACCAGGGGATAATTTAGATGTACACATTCTATAGTATTCATTGAACAGATAAAAGGAGATCACGTAATATGGCAAGTGGGTCATCAAGATGTACATATACTCTTTCTAATTATTAAACGGATACATGGAGATCACGAAAGATGACAAGGGGATCAACTATATTTACATGTACTATAGTATCCATTGAATAGAAATAAAGGGATCACGGAAGATGACAAGGGGGTCATTTAACTGTACATATATTCTTTCATATGTTGGAACAAATATATGGGGATAATGGAAGCTGACCAGGGGATCATCTAGATGTACACATTCTATAGTATTCATTGAACAGATGACAAGGGGATCATCTAGATGTACATATACGAAGGTTGTTCGAAAAGTAATAGGACTGAGAGTCTTGCATATTCATATTCCATCCAATTTAAAATACTTTCATATGTATAGGGATCGTAAAATGTTTTTCTACAACGTATGCATAAGTTTATTTCATTTATTGTGATAAAAGCGCGTTTCCTGTGATATTGAATAACCATGGTAACACGCACCGGCGCAGCACATAAAAATAGTTATTGAAGCTATGTTGTACTTCTAATTAATTCATATATAATTATACTCCGTTTGTCCATATATTCCACCAACAAATTTTTTCTTATTTTAGTGACATTATATATCTAAATTTGACGTCATTCAGGCATGAAATGGCATAATTATTTAGTTTTGAACAGCTGGCGGTAAATGTAGAAATGTGGCACTCAGTAACAAACAGAAATTCGTGTTATCGTTAAATTGTGCCAACGAATTGGCAATATTCTTTCAGATACATACAAAATGATAAAATTAAGAAAGGGAAAATTATCCTGCCATCAGGACACTCGTTTTCAGCTGGTACAAATCAATTTAAAAACGGCGAATTCAAAATCTCTTACAGGAAATTGTGAGAATGAAAGCGGAACATTGTGACGTTAATTGCAAAAACGCTGTAAATAGATCGACTGTAAACGGCACGCGGACTGTCCGGCACTCTTTTTGTCTGCTTCGCGTCTACTTAAGTTTTCACCAAAGGATTGTATATAAAACCATTCTATCAAACACTATTTCATTGTCTCTCATTGGATATAACTTGGTTTAAATAAATTGATATAATAATGATTAACGGTAATGATTAGTAGTATTTTCCCCCAATTTTATTTTAATAGATGCTACTTTTCAATTATACATATTGTTATTTAACTTTATATAATCATATTGATTTAAAAACGTATGATGTGAAAAATAGTAACATAAATCAATTTTGCATAATTTAGCATTAAAAGTCCATGCTTGTTGATTTCCCAGTTTACTTAAAATATTCGAGAAAAGTGGAGAATGGCCAACGATCGGGCATTTTTCTTGGAGAGTTGAACGAAATTGTGATCGTTTTCTTTCTCGCTATATTTCCACATATGAGACCTGATCATATGAACATGATTCAATCACCCTAGAACACTAGGAAGAATACTTTCAGGATGGATGACACTTGTTATATTTTGCATTTAGTTAACGACGTCATGAACGTCATTTACTGTATTGTCAGCGTGCGCCGAGTTTCGTTCCCCTTGTCATTTGAAAAATTCAAAGAATTGTTATTTGTAAACATTTTGTATTGTTTTTTTCCACTGTATATAGAGATCATGTTCCGATATGTGTGTCTTGTAATATTATGTACGTAAATAAA